CCTTCAGGCACTTTGTTTGCTTCATTAATAACTGCATCCACTCTTACGAACGTGTCATCATCACACTTCATAATGTGCTTGGCAGAGGCTACATGTACCTGTAAAAAGAAACAAAACAAAGCAGTTAGTATAATCTCTTCAAATTCTTGTTTAGTTGTAAACAACTTATTTTAGTTTTCATTTTCTAAATTCATAGGTTACATTAAAAACATAAGTAGCTGTTGAAAATAATTCCAGCACTCACCCCATAATCACAGATAGCGACAGTTTTGAGCACGACAAGGTCATAGTTGTCCATGTAAGGCACTATCACAATATCACCAAAAAATTCTGCTTCCTTTTTTAGCTCTAAATTCACTTCCTTTCTTGCATGCTGTCCCAACACCAAATCCAAAAGGCATTTAGATACATTTAATTCAGATACAAGTACATAATAATCAGACACTAAACCATTCGAGATAGTTCTCAATACCAGTGCTACAAAGAAGCGAACTACCACACTGGAAGATTGAACAAGTTTATGCTGGATCCAAGACTTCCTCACCGCCATCCGCTCAGCAAAATGATTGCCTGCAGAAAGAATGCCAATCAACAGCTCAACTGGATGATCAGGAACAGGTGGAGCCTGCCATGTTGTAGATAGGTCAAGATGTCTCTGAGGAGCAAAACTAGGATGTGATGCAGGCAGAGAAGCAGCAAATACAGAGTGTACATCCACATCTCCACTTAGATTTAGGCCAGTCGCATCCTCAAGAGCAAAACCCTGTAGGCATTAACAAACAGTCTTACTAACCTGTCGACATGCATCACAAAATCATTATGCTGTATAATATTACTTACAGTTCGATAAGGGAAAGATGTAACATGCTTCCCGTCAACATTAATATGATAACCCTCCAAACCAGCACTAACAGTGAGAACAAATAGTTTTTCCTCTGCAAAAGGGAATGGCCAGTCCACAGTTACCCTTTTTGTTCGGCCAACTAACCGATTCAACCACCATGTACCTTTAGATCCCTCTGAATTACTGTCATCATCACGAATCCATTTCTCACACTTCACCTGACCATCAACTGCAGCCAGTAAAAATTAGCTGAGTCTGTGATAACAAAGTATTCCAACCAAAAAAAATATATATTTTCAATAAAAAAATTGAGAAATACAATGAGAACCAAAAAATGAATTACAGTAGAGTTATATAACAGCAAGATGACTCCATAAGTTGCGACACAACAAATTGCCTGATTTTTCACACATGGCATAAGTAGCAAATGCAGAGACAGCCTAGTGTGGATGAAACCAAGTAGCAATTTTGGAATCAAATTTTTTGTTTTTTTGTTAGTAGCTTATATCATAGATTCTAACGTTCTAATGATGAAAGAGCAACAAACGAAAGGAAAAAGTTTTCTTTTTTACCAAGCCAGCAAGGATCCAGAATTTCAATTAGGTCAAGATAAATTTACTTTTTCTTTTTTTCTCGCTTTTGGGGGTGGGGGGAGGGGACGAATGACAAGATAGCTTTCCTCTTATAACAACCAAAAAGATTCTTGTTAGGTAAATGAGTTCTAATCCAGCAGATACTTTGACAGAGGTAATACAAACTAGGATATTCTTAAAAACTAAATAATAAACTCAGGACATTACGTAGAGAAAACCAATTTCTTTCACCAAAAGCTCGAGCAAAGGGAATGCTTACCAGTCTCCTCATCAGCCCCAGACCTCCACCCTTCACAGCGCTGCGCCCGGGCCCACTGCATCCTATAACAAGTGTTCTGCTCAATCACTGGCTTCCCACTCCAATCACCCTTCAACCTCGGGTTGAAATGCAGAATTCGCGGGGGGTCTTCTCCCTCTACAATCTTCAGGCCCTGCAATTCCATCATGAACTGCGAAACCATCACGGACACATCCCCTTCCCTCGACAATGATATCTTGGCGCCCATTTTTGGATGAGCAGCCCTCGGCTTCCCAATTACTGTTATGTGCGACCCCAGAGTGAGCCCACACGGCAACTCCACCACATTCCCACGGGCCAAAAACTCCGAGCGGGACACCGAGACCGATTCCGGGCATGATTCTGATTGGTTGTCAGACTTGTTTGTGAAGTTTTCAACATTCTCCGATTTAAGGTCCTCCCATAACTCACGACCAAGTTCCCAAGCAACCTTGGCGGATTTATGGAGCTCGAAGGACCCATCCTGTCGACTAGGGTCAAAAGTTTCAGCGTCAAATTTCAAGCTGGAGAGGATCATGTGTCGGTCCGGATGATGGCTGCGTGAGGGTGAGTTGGAATCCTCATGAAACAAACTCTTCAGAGGACGAGTAGGGGCTCGTTTCTCTGCTAATTCTTCCTGACTCTTCAGCCCGGCGTTGCGAACCAGAGAATCCTGCGATACGAAATTAAGGCCGGTGTGGAAGAGAAAGGGAATTTCTATACTGACGAGGAGTATATACAAAAGCGCAAGAGCGATCAAAATGTGAACCGATCTTTGCTTGGTTAGTGAAACAAACATGTCAAGGTTATCCCATCTGTCTAATTTGGATAATCTGGGTTTCTTCATTTTTAGGAAATTGAAAGAAACGGATAGGAAAGAAATTCACAGAAGAAACCTAATTCCAGAAGACGACCAAAAGTTGGTTAAAATTCTAACTATCAAACTCTTAAATTTGGAGTATTAATCGCTGTTTAAATACAGAGGGAGAAGGTCAATGATCCGAGAGAGAGAAAATTAGGTTATCAAAACTGTAACGAAACGCAGAGAGAGATGGAGATTGACATTGTTGAGGTCGGTCCATTAAAGCATTTTCGTTGAAGGAGACGCATTTTCCTTGCTTTACTTTTCAAATGAGAATATTTTTTTAAATTTTTAAATCAGATGAAAATGAAATAAATATTTTAAAATTAGGATTTCAGAATTAACAAAACGGTGCGGATTGGCGGCGCTCTAACGTACGCTACTCTAAATCATACACGTGGACTCAACCCAACTCCACCACCACTTGCAAGAACATACGGGCCATTAATGTTTAAATATTTTAGGAAGTGTTTGAAAACTAAAGATATATATTTATATACGTATTAATTATGATTAATTAATTAGTTACAAATATTTAGAGTGTACATATGAATTGGTATATTCTAAAAATATGATACATTACTTTAAATTTATATTTAAACTTGAAAAAATAAAATAAAATAAAAATTATCAATTCATTCATATATTTCATTGTTGCACCACTAAGCAACCATGCATAGTTGTTCCTAAGCAATAAATAAATTAAAACAAAAAAAAATCAATATTGTCTTTTTGCCACCATCAACTTCCCACTTACAGAGGAGTGTGAACATTAATCAAAAACATCTATACATATAACTAAATATTCTTTTGTAAAATGAATAGCTTCGCACACAAGATAAATAGATACATCTATACATATAGGATTATCTTTATAATGGTACATTTCTTAACCCCCCAAATTTAAGATTGACATATTATAACACTGTAAATATTAGAAATTTATGAAATTAATATATAATTCACAAATCAATTTTATAACTATTTTTTTAAAATTATTTTGCATAATATCACATATAATTATATTTATACATATCGAATTGTATATAAATTTTTACGGTATAAATATCACTTATAAAAATCTAAAATTTTGAAGAAAAACTAATTAGAAATCTCTTCTTCTTCACGGAAGCAAAACTTTTTATTGAGATGGTTGAGAGAGAGAGTTTGTATATGTTTTTTTTCATTGTACGTTATGTCCTCTCTTTTCTTCTTTTTACTCTTTTTATAGATTATTCAAAAAGGTAATTTTTACTGAATGTAGTAACTATCCACAATTTTAATTTTAAATTTGAATAAGTGGGTTATCGTAACCAGGTCGAGTCCCATCATGGGTGACCCACCCAATTAAATTCAATATTTTTCACTCACATGTGATGATACCACCTCTTTCTTCAATTTTACAAGACTTATACGTAAATGTAACCATGCATACTTCGAGAGCACTTACACTATATATCTGTTAGGAGTATATTGCTTCTTGAATTATAAAGCTTGGAGTATGTAATTGTATATTATGCCCTAGATCACATATCACATTTATATATCCAACAATCTCATTTAACTAATAAATCGAGTACATTCATAATTATGTTTTTCCTTATATAAATATAATTGGTCGACCAATAAATATACATCAATAATGTGATATATTCTTTAAATTGTGATCTTCCTCTTATCTTGATTCTCTCACCTTTTATTTAATTCGCTTTTCTAGACATATTCGATTGGACCGAATTATTCATGACCCTTCGGTCATATCCTAGGATAGCAAGCCTTAACTAAAAGGTCCAAGAAACATATTAGAGTCATGGGGGTATTAGATGAGATTCTCTTAATCTAAGGGTCTTACACAATATTAAAGTTGAGATCTCACTTTTATTACCCTTTGGCCAAATTAGTTGCACATGTGGTATGAATCACATGTTATGGTATTCTCTCCTTTCCTTTGGAGTGTATGTCTTTTATTTCTCATAAATACTATACATATTATAGTTAGATGTGCTCAATATCTAACTCAAGTTCACTTACATACTTTTTTAACTCTTTAGAATTCTAATATGGCAATAAAACAGATAAAGTGATAATTATTAAATTATTCACTTAGTGTCATAAACTTAGCAATTTTATTATGACTTAATTCTTCACCTTGATGAGTAGTAACAATTATTATATTTAAGTTGTCTCTCAATTACCACCTACATAATTAGCTTAAATTTATCTCATCTTTATTATACCAAATAACGAAGGCGATTGCCTGTGTGAGAAGGCCAATCTTATATCTATCTTACATGCTTTCTCTAAATATATAGATGTATACAACATATGTACACATGTTTGTATATGTATACTCTACAACAAATGTAAACAAGGCAATAAGAAAAAAAAATAAAGTCTTTCATTGATAACATAACTAGTAAACATGGTTGGGAAATATATAAAATGTAAGTACATTTAACACCTATGCAAATCTAATGATTTAATAATGTAAGTACATTTTACACCTATGCAAATTTAATGAT